GGCTAACTCACAGATCCAACCCTGAAACAACCTCTGGGCTGATCTAAGTCAGGGCATGGCTATATCAGATGGAATTAGAATTTAGCGTGTTGGACAAAGCTGGAAACCCTTTGAAAACCCCTCGAATCACGGCCCCACAACCTCAAATCTACCGCGTGTTATTCACCTAACGTGGCATTTGACTGCAGTGATATAGACATTTAGATGCGCTAACCCTATAACGTTATTAGTGGGTGCTGTATAACTATGAAAAACTAATTACGCAGTGCGGTCATAACCGTACTACATTGTGCTGTGCACTTCATGGGCGCACCATTGTTAAGGTGTGCGCAGGGACTGGAGATTATTGCACATGCGCAGACAGCTGATATTGCATATCAGTGAACTGTAAATAAAGTGAATAAAGTACAACTAAGCTCTGATTGCTTTCCCATTTCGGACAACTCGTCTTTGAAATGGGCGTAGTTTTATAGATTTTTAAACCCCAACAGATATCATACATAGATTATGAGTTAGGGTAAATTTAATTTTCTTAATGTTGAATGGATGACATCGATGTATGCTTSTCTTCTGACTAGAGTGCACGCACTAAACCCATGAATAATATTTAGTACTAATTAGTACTATTTCATACAGAATCCTTTGTTTCCWATTGTTTAATTWTCACTATTTAGTACTAAAAMTTAGTATTTGTTTCACGGGTTTAGTGCGAGTACTCTATTATTTACCAGGGCTCTAAATTTCAATTTCAATACCTTGAGAAATCAAATCGCTAATTTTAAATAAAAGGTAGAACGAGCATAGCTGATACCTTTACTCTGGAGTCCTCCCTGAATACTCAGTAAGCAGATTGATATTTATCTCTTCTTTGTCCAGATTCACTATGAAGACATCAAATCTACTGGTAGCGTACGCATGTATTTTAGCAATAACCGTATCGTATGAAAGAGTCACCGCACGCTCAGATGATTGCTTACCCATCTGTGATGGACTGTATTATCAGTGTATGACGGGATGTTATGGGTGGGATGAATGCAAGATGTGCGTTAATGGAGCCACTCATTGCAGAGATAGATGTAGTARCAAAAGATCTCTTTCATCTCCTGGGAAAAGTGGAAGACATGAAATAGGATGGAAAAGACTTCTACATACTCTCAATAAACAATAGTAGTAGTGTTYCTTGAATGTAGTTAAGGTTAACAATAAAAAAAACTTGAATGAAATAGAAAATTAATAAATCTTATTCTTTTAAATCGTTTTATGTATTCTACCTGGATAACTTCATTTTTATTTATGTATTTAATAGGCTATAATAAGTCTAACTTCTCACTTCTCTCTCATCTTTTTAGGAAGGAAAATTAATATCCAATTATAAAATAGAACAAACCTATGAAAACCATGGGGTATAGTCAATGCTTTTTGGCCAAAAACACCCATTTTTCAAGT